TGTGTTATTCAGGTGATGCATCAGAACAAGAATTACTCCTATAATAAGAGTTTTCATGGGGCGTTTGCTTTTACGACTAGCGGTTAAAATTTATATTAAGGCCAATTGACGGCTCTCGGTTGATATCTTTCCATTGTGGTCACCAGAAATATTTTTACGGTTAACTTCTTTTACGCCCAACGGTTAATTTTGTCAATGTCTACGCTTAACAGCGAAGTTTGTGCTGTTTTACGGCCCTCGGTTAACCCTATCGAGACCCTCTTCTAAAAGAGAATAGGTAATTCTCAATAGAAACGGCAAATTTAAGTGAAGAGAGTTTCTTCTTACTAACCAGTTGCAAATCATCGCTTAGAACATTCTTGTTGTCCTATGTTGCTAGGTTTGATATTGCAGTGCGTCAGAACACTTAAAACATTAATTTAAAATTTAGCTTTAGATATTGACAAGTTCCCCGCAGCTCAGTGGGTAGAGCATCTGACCGCACCATGTTGCGGTCCATGGTCAGGGTTCAAACCCTGGCGCGGGGAATCTTGTCATTTTTGTTTCTTTTTTGTTTTTCTCATCATTTTTTTATCCTTGCTGATAATAAATCTTTAATGTCTCTATATGCTTTTAAAATAAGTGAAAGATTTCCGTATAACCCCACACTATTATAAGACGATGCATCAGTTCCATCGTCTCTCTTTTTTTAAATAAAATGTACACATAATGCAGTATGGAGTTATACGGAAATCTTTGTCGAAATCAGTTCCAACAGTTTGAGTTTTACAACCGACGCTTGCTAACGAATTTATGCAATGCTTTTTTTTATTTAAGAGTTCTTTCCTTTTACAGTATAGCCATACAGTCCAACAAATTATTTTTTCCTCTCTCACATACCAATTCCTCTCACACAATGTACCTTCTTGATACTCAATTGGCTACTAAGCATGCAAACAAAACTTTGCATCAAATCAGTGACGTATCAGCCAATCATTGGCTGAAGCTGCTAATCCATATTTATCACGAATTTTAGAATTTCCAGCAAACCACGCTGTCCATCTAAGAGAGAAGACGCGCCTTCCAAGTTCTGAAGAAAAAAGGTGCACTCTAGAAAGACGACGACGTTGGACTATTTCAGGAGTGTAACAGAAGGTTTTTAGTGTTGCTAACTACACAAAGTGAGGGAAACATTGTTTTAAATTCCTTTAGAAAGCTAAACTTGTCGTATCATATCGGTTAAACGACAAAACGCGAATCGGTTGCTTTGTCTGAGCGGCCCACTCAACGGCATCAACTCGAAGTTTGATTGAATTATGGTATTGCCGTCGAGAAAAGCAGAACCTGTGATTGTCAAATATTTGAAGAGAAATTCATGGCTATCTCTCTGTGACTCAATAATGTGAAGATTTCAAAGAGGACTATTTCTTAGTTTAATATGGCCACGGGATATGAGACGGCTCTTCTACAAACTCTACCTTTGCTTTATTTCACAAGACATTTCGAAAAGTCTTCGTGTTTTCCCTTTCTTCTTTAATTGTGCTCCAGTGGGAATGAATTATATAGAAATCAAATTTTAAGGTCCTAAGATTGTGCGTCTTCGTTCTGAGACAGTTAGCGTTCCCTAATCACATTCACTATTTTTATTTTAAGGAGAGGCAAAGTGGTTACAAGATAGAAGGACAAATATTCTGGTCAAGAGGATACACTGGAATGAAGAATAGTTGGTGACACTGCAAAGATAAGAGTCTTGAAATTATTGCGAAACAGTAGCAAAAATGGTGGCTCATTATATGAAGAATTAATGTACGAAGTCCTCATTCTTTCACCAAAAGTATTGGAATGGATAAAACTGGTTACCTGGTAAGTGAAAAGTTTTCAATCTGCCACCATTTTTGGTATAGTTCGTTATGATATGGACTGTTATGCAAGCCTTGAGTAATCGCATGATTTATTTGAACCACAAGCTAAATTGATGCAAGATAATTTGGTGCAATTTATCTCGATGATCTCATTTTATCGAAATAACCAAAGTTGTAACTGGAAATTGATTTAAACCTGACCACAGAAAGCTGAAACTAGACATCGTTGATTTCGAGGCTTTACTCGCCTTCTTGGTTTGCATAACAGTTTTTTATCACCATTATACCCGGTCAAACGTGCTCTCCATTTAATTTCGGTGTTTTGCGACTGCTTTCGTCACTAGTTTCTCATCCAAACAATACCAACTGGTATTGAAAGGAAAATGTCAGTCCAGGTCAAATTCTCGCTCCATCATTCTTAACTCTCAATGTTGCGTCGCCATCCAACTTGTTCCCAGTGTTTTTCGTCAGACCCAGGTTTGACGTCACGCCATGTACGAAATATTTCTTGAAGGAGAAAAGTGTCGGTAACTTTACATACCTTCTCATAAAATCGATGAGAATAAAAGGAGGTTACAGATAGGTAGAAACCTAAATGGATCTTCAGGTAACTGAGGGTGAAACAAAAATATTTTAAGCATCCAATGAGCTGCTAGTGAGACCCCACCTCGCCACAGGCGGGTGCGGCACTTAAGTAAATGTAGCACATCCGGGCACAACTGTCATAAGAAATCTTAAGAAATCCACTGGTTGAATTACAAAATTGACCGAGTTACATACGGGGGTATAGTTGCGTACTTTTAAACCACATATTTTCTATCTGTCATCTGTCCACATGAGATGTGGTCGAGGTGCAGAGCTTCGCTCATTCTTGGCTTGTGAAAGTACATAAACTGCGTCCAAAGTTAATAAAAGGTTTCCCCACGTATGATTTGAACTATTCCTCATTGGTCCTCCTCCTCGGAAATGGCATGAACAGAGGGAAGAACTTCGAGGTCACGTCTTTACGAAGAAGGCGCGCGTGCCGCGTGGGCAGAGATGTAATGTGATCCTAAATAGCCTGCTGTCAGTCATTTACACTTAGCTCTAGAGCATTCGCTTTTTGCGTCAGTGCAGTCAGAGTTACAGCTCAAGAAGAAATGCACATAGTTATGGCGATCTTCAGTACTGCGTTCGTTTTGCTGTATTTCTTTGGCTCATCTCTGGCGGTTGAAGGTAAGGGAATAAACTTTGTCTCACTCGAAAGCTTTGTTTAAGTCAAGGTTTGATAAGCGCCGATTCTGGTCTCGATCCCCATCAAATTGATCTCCTTGTGATAATTTTAAATCTTAAACGTGGAGAAAAGGTTAAATGACGTTTGTGGTTTTGTCACTGTTGTACCCCAAATAAAGTTCAGTGAGGCACTCTTCACTGGAAAGCTCAACACTGTTTACAGATTTCGCAATTTGTGTTAGTTATTCATTTACACCCGATTGACATTTTGTCTCATCTCACCTCAACTGATCTCTCACTACAGTCAATCTCACCTTTTTAAGCATGGTTTTCCGAAAAACGCCGAAGTATTTTGGCATAGAGCAAGAGTAGAATTGTCAAAAAGTGTGTAACTCGTCGATTAAAATCTTAAGAGAAACTTTCACCTTGGCATGTGTAAAAAGATTTTGTCTCTACCAGAATATCTCTGTCTAGTTTAACTAGGAAGTGTTGACAGTTGGGTCACTCAAAGTTATTATTCAGCAATGATTCAGTTGGCGATTTCCCATGGTGTGGTTTCCTTTCCCTATATAAAGTAATTGTAAACCAAGCTTGACAGCATGACTTTTTAGTCAGAGGTGTTTGCCAAATACTTTGGTCCTGATACATGGCTGCTTTAGACGTTTTTTTAGGAAAAGGACAGCTGTAGTAATTTAGAGGTCACGTCACATTATTAAATAATAGACCTTAAGAAAAATTAAGGAGGGGTAAAGGATTTTGAGAGATTAAAGTTTTATGGCATACCAAGTGGGAAAGTCTAAATAACTTTTTCTGCGTAGGACAGCTTTTACTTTCTGATGATGCAGGTTAATCTTTTTTTACTTCACGGCGTTTTCCTCTGTGCGCGCTTTCGCTCACCTTTTAATGGCCCATCTCTTGTAGAGAGGAATTCCGGAAGTGCCTCTCCACTTTACAGACGAGAATATATGAAAGTGTCAATTTTTTTCAACGAAAAAGATTACTGATTCTAGGCCATGATGTTAGAATTCATATATGGCTCAGAGATTTTTAATAACGAGTTTTGACTAAATCTCTGTGTCACATTCAATCATTCTTTACATCTAAATTATTACAGTAGCAAAATGTGGCGGTGTCCTTAACAATGAAACTGGACAAATAACTTCACCAAATTACCCAAACGACTATCCAGATGGTATCACTTGTAGATGGAAGATCTCTCCTTACAAGTCCCATGTGAATATCACTATTGAGGACTTCTTGGTAAGTAAATAATCAAAAGCTTTTCCCTATTTACTGCGCGAAATTGTGGAGCGAAGTCAAGTTGCAAGATTTTGTTTTCTTAGCAAAAACCGTGCAAATATCGCTTGAGTCATACACCTTTCCGTGCATCAGTGTTGCCTTTTTATATTTTAAGCGACTTAGACTGGAGGAAAATTTTCTGGCAAAGTTAATAATGTTGGTATAACCTTCACGCTAGTTTCCTTTGCATGTACTGACCCCAGGCTGTAAAAGCGCACATGTAACTACCCCGACCTCCATCCCTCCCAAATTGTTCCACTTGCCAATTAGGTCATTGCATTCGATTTCTCTTAACGGTTTTTTGTTATTATTTTCCATTAAGCTTGAAGGATCTACAAACTGTGAAAATTTCGACTTCCTTGAAATCAAAGTTAAAAAAGGCCGGTATAGCGACGAAAGAATCGCTGTTTGCGGGTCACTGAATCCTCGTGTACTGAGCATCACACTAGACGGTGAACCAGTGGAAATGACCTTCAAAACCGATATGAATGTGAACGCAAGAGGATTCAAAATCAGTTACCGAGGCTTTGGTAAGTTTCAGCGACCCTATTTTTCTTTAACTACTGACCCCTTACCCGTAAGGAATTTTTTAACAATATCCTATGGAAGATTTTACATTAACACTGCAAATTCGTAGTAGCTGTTGATGTCCACGTTGGTTAAGATGGCGGAAAATGTGGAAAGAAATTGGTCGATAGGATTTGAAGATGGTGTGATCGAAAGAAGGGGTGGGGCTGTTGCATCGTGTCAGTAAGCAGATACACCCAAGGAGTAAGTACACATATTAGGTGCAACGCAGTTAAGCCAAGATTGACATAAGTTTCCTTTCAGACATCGACCCTTGTGTGAACAACAATGGTGGATGCTCGCACACATGCAACCTGGTAAATGGGAAGCGTGAATGCTCGTGTCCCGATGGTTACAAACTGGGGTATGACTCGCAGACGTGCAAAGGTTTGTGGTAAATCAAGTTTTGTCTTTTAAAATATGTTTAAAAGTAGGGTTTTGCTGAAAAATGTGACTAAAGAATTAGCACTACGCAAGAACGCTCATTTAGTCCTCGTGAAGCTAGAACAATTACAATAGAGAAGGTTGAACGCGTTTGTGAAGATACGACTGCGTTTCGTCTCCAGGTCTCAATGATCCACACTCATTTCCAACTTACAATATTTTCACAGGCGTCAATAGTTGTTACTTCGCGGGACGACAAAAGTGTCCTTACACAAGTAAGTCAAGTTGCAAGGACCTTGCACACGGTGTTACCACTTGCGTCTGTTGGCATGGTTACAAGAAAGACTTAAGGCACAACAAATGCCGCGGTAGGTGTTAATTGATACTTGCTTGTAAGAGTGATTAAAGGTTGGGTTCTGTCATTTAAATCAATAAATATAACTTACACACCATTGGAAGGTCTTATTGCTGAAGGTATTTCATTTTCCCAGTGTATGACAGCTTCGACATTGTTAGTACCAAGTTCAATATTAAACGTTCTGGGAATTTTGAATGCTTAGTTTCCCTGAGGTGAGTAAAATTGACAAATCTTAGCTACAAAAATTTTGCTCCACCCATATTCTACAAGAGAAAATGAGAGACCTGTGAGTTAAATTAGGGCGTACAATAAAACTTATTAACTAATGCTGATATTTGTGAATCCACTCTCTGTTTTGACCGGCAAATTCTGATATTATTTTCCTTTTCCATCGAGATATTGACGAGTGCAAAGAAGTTCCGAACCGGTGTGGTGTTGGGGTTTGTCATAACAAAATAGGTTACTATTACTGTACCTGTCCCAAAGGGTACCAATCAGGCTATAAAGACGGCAAACAGACATGCCGGGGTAAGGAAATTAATTCCATACAATAAGCTTCATTTCTTGACGATGGTTTTCCTATCGAACCTCACAAATCCGTTTATTTTCATGTTAAGAAATAATCATCTAACTGTTGGCCTGGAAGGTTCGACTCTTGAAGTACACTTTAAAAGACGTTGGTTGGACTCGGATAAATTGTGCTCACGAATAACCACTCCATATTTAAGCTTACAAAACTGAGTCTTTTTACCTTTCGTATCTAGCTTAAGAACTAAGAAATTAAAGTGTTCAGCAGTTACAAAGTTCTGAGGGAAATCTACATCCACTTAAATTGCGGGGTCAACGTAATCCTTGCGGATAATGTTAATGTCAGATTGGATCCAGTTAACTTTGACCTTCAGTACACATCTTTTCCCTTGACATGCCTTGCTTTTTTTTCTTTTGAATCAGATACAGACGAATGTAATAGTTACAGGCAACCGCACTGTGGAGAGGCCCAATGTGTTAACACTCCCGGGAGCTATGTTTGCCAATGCAAACCTGGATATAAGTTCAACGAAGTTTCGAAAACCTGTGAAGGTTTGTAATTATGGCTAGCTACCTGGGTTGGCAAAGTAAAGGAAATAATGTGCACTAAATGGTTACCTGTGCACCTTACCCGTTCGAGACAGCATGCTTTGATCCTTCAAAAGTAAAATCTATCTAGAAATCTTCCTGCCACTCAGTGAGTATTTATAAGCTGCACCTCCTTAGTCACGATGGATGGATATGACTTTCCCTCTCTGTGATCATTACGATTATCAAAGTTATTTTAAAATTGGTTGTTTTTTTTTTCTTTTTTCGTGGATTTCACTTTCGACTCGATCCACAAGATTAAAAAACGCAAAAAAAAAAAAATTGGCCAACATGAAGCCATTAGGGCCTCACGCATGATCAGTAACGCTTACATATCTTATCAATAAAGGGCAAAATTACTGAGCGCTGATTGGTTGAGAGAGACTTCGCGACTCGGGCAATTTTGGAAAATTTTGAAAACTCTCGTGCAATTAATCCTTAATAGTACTTGGCCTCATGTGATTACCTATACTAACTCACCAGATGACGATGAATGCACCGCGAACATCGGTGGATGCGATCAAGTTTGCTCGAACACAAATGGTTCCTTCAGTTGCAGCTGTCATCTGGGGTTTTTCCTGGATAGCAATGGCAAAACATGCAGGGGTAGGTTGCACTTTTTTCCATGTATATAATATTATCATCATCGTTATAAAACTACAATAGTAGTAAGACGTTTCTAAAAGTTAAGAAGAACGCAACGTCAGCGGGAAAGCAAGGTTTAAGTCTCTACTTTTCCTGTGGAGTTTTCTAGCGATTGCGCTAGAAAACTTTTTTTCCTTGTGTAAAGTGAAAGCCTGGATTCAAGCTGGAAATTCTTAGGAATGAAAAGATTGTTGTTGTAGTGGAGGACTACTTAATGAACACCACTGTTTACTTCGAAATCTGAAGTAAAACTTGGTGGTCTGAAACATGTTGACCATTATGCCAACCTACTGAGATTATCCTAAGTTGTTTGACCAGATTTCACTTATTTTCAGATGTAAAAATTGAAGGTTTTGGACCCGTCAACACAGACAATGCCTGCCAAGGAGAATCGCTGAGAATATCCTGCAAAGATCCTTTAAAATCGCTCATAATTTTCGAAGCAAAGTACGGTGATGCTGGAGATCCAACAATTTGTCCTTACAAACAGTTCATCGCCCAAGTCGATAGCAAGAGCCCTGACACTTTGCCTTGTTCCGAAAACGTGACAAAGGAGATCGAGAGATTGTGTGGCTGGGAAAATACATGTGAAGTCAAAGCCGAGTCTTCCCTTAGCCGTGTTTGCCGTGGACCCAACAACCATTTGTCTGTTGTTTATTCTTGCGGTGAGACCTTTATTTTTTGGGCAGCTTTGATTAAAACGAAGAATTGATGTTTAGCGCCACTTAACGGTTCACTTACATGTAGGGCTGGTTACGGTTGTGTTTTTGTGCTTATGTGTATAAGACCCCACAAAAGAAAATGTATGAGTTCCAGACGTCTTCAGAACTTGCTTACTTCTATATAAGTAATTAACGCAAAAACGATCATACGCTCAACGAGATTTCTTGACGTCTTGACGTTTAGTTCTCTATTTAATCGTCGTTAACAATTTCCCACGACTTACTAGGCCTGGAATCAAGTTTTTCAATTGTTTGGCCTCAATGGTGTACATATAGTTTTTTTCTTGGTGATTGGCGCAACATTGCCATTTTAACTCTGTACTGCACGGTAACCTATATGGCTGTACTGTCAAGGGAAGAGTACGTGTAGACCTAATACAAACACTAAGCCTAACGGCAGTTAGTTAGAAAAGACCGGGAGTAAGTCACAGTAAAGTACCCTTTGTTTATCCGAAATGCCCACTCGGTGTTGGGCGATTGTGCTCATGTAAAAAAAAATTTTGTATCTCAGCTCAATAGATTATTATATTTTCTTGAGTAAGGGGCTGCACGCGCTTCTCACGCGACAGTTAAACGACTAAATCGAATTTATTTCATCGTTACGTGACTGTGTAAATCACTGTTGTTCTGTAGGTAAACCCCTGAAGTGTCCACCTCTGCCCAAACCAGACAAGTGTGTTGCTCCTGTAAAGAACGAGTGCAAGACGGACAAGGATTGCCCCCTGGCTAAAATGTGCTGCTTTGACGGATGCCAGAGTGTGTGCTCTAAACCTGTTTTGTACACGAGTAAGTGCTGTTGTAACCATGACTGTTGGAAGGTGTTTCCTTCTCATGAGCTATGAGTTAAACAATTATGAGCAGGTGATGGATATTGCCACATTTCTGGGTGCAAATAGTGTTCAAGATCATACAATGCAATTTTCCTTTTTTTCCCATCGGCTTAGAGCAAACCATTTGCACATAACTACTGTACATACAAATAATGATCGTCTACTACACATTACAGTCAAACTTTTTTTGCTTTGAATAATATCCTGTTCATGAGAGTGCAATATGACAGACTTTAGAATTTGGTCCAAGGTGCAAGAATGCTATGCTTTATGCCTCATATAAACGTTTAAAGGATACTACTACAGTAGTCTCTATTTCTCATGAAATTAATGTTTTTGGTTTTTCTTTACCTAGAGCCCACAGCTGGTTCCTAAGGCAACAGGTGTCCTGAGAAACAAACTGCTTGACAGGGACTGGACAATTGGCACAAAAGTGAAAAAAGCTGACTACAGTAACAGCAGTAAATTGGAATTATTAAATGAAAGCTTTTTCTTTTGTCTATCGATAGAAATCATGTTTGTATTCCTGTGATAAACAATACATGACTAGTAAAGCTTACTCTACACATTTCTAAATGTTGTCATTTGTGTTTGTAAGTCTAAAGTAATGATATTTTCATAATTGTGATTTTAAGTGTACCTTTTTTGAGAAAGATTAACTTCTATTCACCAAATAAGAGAAACACCAGCATAATTTTAAAAAACTCTTATTGACCTCATAATTACAAATATATATTGCTGATAATTTGATTAGTACTCTCAACTGCTTGGTCCATAGGTGCAGATCAGAGCAAACAAACAACTAGTTTCAAAGATTGACTACCATTACCAGCGCAATGTTTTGACAGCATGTGCCCTGATTATCCCAACCACCTCCATTTTGAGAGGATAATCTTCTAGTTTTTGGATTGTTATGTTGATTCATAGTGTTTTATCCATAACACAAATGCTCACCCCAGATACAACGAGCATCATTCCGAGAAATGTTCCTGCAAATAAAACAGCATTCTTAAGAACTTGATCCAAAGCATGGCATGAAGAAATAAGATTTTGCACTTTTGAACTCTTTCATCAAAATATAAAAATATTTAAGGGCAACTGAATAGCATAGCAACTACAGCTTGTCAAGATTTCTCTACCATCCAGTAACTTGGAGTATTGTTGCTACTCCTGACCAGGATGTCAGTCCACCATAGGTACCCTGCTCTCCCATTTTGTCAGGATTCACTTCTCTTGTCAATTTTCTTTTAACCTTTTTCTATTCCTATTCCTATTCCTATCCAAGGCTTTAGACCAGAGCTCTCTCCACTTGGAGTCTGGCATCCCAGCCACCAAACCACCTATTCTCCCATAAAAGCAACCATGGAGTTCCCATGTGTGGCCATAAACTATCACAAAAGCTGTTTATTATTATTATTTTTTTAACTGTGCATCTTTCATTGAGTTTTGTTGAGTTGTATTTTGTCTTACAAGGAACTTCTTTATTATCAATACCTGCATTAATGTTGTCTTCACCTAAAAGCTTCCCAGTCAATGTTGTGATGATCATAGTCAAAGAGTTCGTAATTGGCACAGCAACGGACAAATCTGGAAAATGAATGGCATCAATAACTGGTAATAACAAATACTAATGAATATAGTATGGTTCTTCAGAAGTATATAAGATTAAAAAAAACAACAGCAAACAAAACTTGTTGTTAATTACAAACCTGCAGATGCAAGTGTCAGGTAATAAACCACTGACCCACACTGGTTTAACAAAAAGGGAATCAAATACTGTAGAGGAAAAAATCCACCAGACCATTTATCAGTGAGCCTGACATAGCTATAACTTAGACAAGTGATTCATGACCATCATTTTGAATTTCAAAGGGGCAAAATGCCTAATGAGTATAAAGAAGAGCCTGTGTCTTTAGGTAGTAGACACAGGCAGGCATTGATTGAAGGATTGATTGGTGAGTGGGTAGTGCCAGTGATTAAATAAAAAAATTGGACTTGTAAATTAAAATAGATGTATATGTATTTTTTTGGAAGGATTGGGGGCTTAATATTTCTAGGGGATACAGTGTACCTCTGTGTATGCATGGAATCTATGTATTTATGAAGACATCCTCACCCAAGCTGAACAAAGATTGAAAAATCAACTGTTACCTTCTGTTTACCTTCTTTTATTTAAATATCAAAATTCAATTATGAAAAATATCTCACCCTCCAGTTGGATACAAGAAAAAGCACTTCTGCAAAAAACTGACCAATGCGACTCGGTCTGTGAATATCCTCTATCCCTTTACTTCCTTGTCTTATAAGAGGATTTGTGGAGCCCCATAATAGAGACACAATGCACAACCAGAATGCATTAGCTAAAAGATCAGGCAGAGTAATAAAAACATTATTACATAACAGGCATGACAAGACACTAAGGTTCATGTGGTTCCTGGGTCATGTTTTATCCTTAAATTTCCTAACTCTTTTTACTGTTAATCCTTTCATTCCTGTGTATGATCAATATGAAATTTCTCCACAAAATATCAGCACATTGTCAAGAAAACATTTTATAAGGTTAGCAAAGCATCAAATTAGGGTCATGGTTTGATTGATCACTACATTCACAGAACTCAAATCATAAGACCTGCATGTCAAACTGTGTTGAAATCTTTGGGATGAAAGGGTGATGACATCTTGCAGCGCATACGCAATAATTGATATACGGTAGTTCAGAAAAAGAGGTTGCTTCATTTCTTGAGCATGTTTTGGCACAGTGCAGTCGGTAATATGAGCGTCTTGGTCGTCAGACTATATTTGTTGTCAAGTTCGCGCACCCTCTACATAGTTTTAGGATGTTTCCTTTTCTAAGTAGAATAAACTGCAATACACTGAATTAAGCAAAAATTGTACTTACTAACAGTATCATCCATTGCTTATATATAAGAGGCTATAAATCGCTCTGTTAATGAAAATAAAGTAAAATATTTCTAAAGAGCTAGTGACAACACAGATACATCCGCCATGTTTAAATCAGATGAGGCACTGGAGACGAGTACAACCTATTCCCTCACGGCAGTGCAGGAAAGGCAGTCCTCCCTATATATGTTCAGGTAAGACATTTCGGTTTAGTTACCAAAATGAACTTCACTAAAAATTTCAAGTTTTCACCCAGCATAAGTGTTCACATGAACAAATTGCTGTATCTTGGTCCATGTGCCCTCCCTCTCAAGTGAGCACATCATACTCAAAGGTAAGGTTTAGGAAGGCAAGGTCTTGGAAATTCTGCCAGCGCAGTTGATCGGGCAATTTTGAGAACACGTCCTGATTCAGTTAAATTCCAATAATTTTCGAATGCTTGCAAGGAGTTGACGGGCAGGGGAATCCGGCACAATGCTGGTGGTATCCCGGCGCGATATCGGGTGGGTTTCCGGAATGGTTCCGGGGGGAACCTCAGCGCAATCCCGTTGTGGTTCCCGGCGAAATTCTGGGTCTAACCTTTTCAGTAAAGACGAAAATTAAATTCGTTTTCCTTTCTTTACAAGAAAAATTCAAGAAAAATTTGCTCGACAAGTGTATTGACAAGGTAATAGCAGTACGCTTCCATGTTTTCATTTGTTTTATTTCAGGATGTTGTTTGTGAATGCGGAGAAAGCTATCACGTCGTATCATGGAAATCTGGGACGAGACCCTTTCTTACTCTCCTCCCCCGGCCAGTAAGTTCACTCGCCTTTTGAAATAAAGATAGCTTTTTACCGACCCTAATGTGCTATTAATACTACTATAAATATTCAGTTAAATCTATTTCACATAGATTCATATAGCTAAAGCGTTGGGATGATGTCAATCCGATTCACCGTAAATTCATTGATGCTACAAGGAGAGAATAATTGTAACTTAGTTGTCCGTTATCCAGCGAAAAGTGAAATTACAAAGGGATACACATGCCATGCCGAAAACTGATTGGGAAATATAACGCAGCCGTCCATAGTCTTCGATCTTTTTTTTTCGAATCTCGATTGACACACTAATGGGGACAGGCGATCCTACTTGGAAAGTAACCTGAGTAGCTAAAACCTAATCTACGACTGAAATACATTGAACGTGTAATTTTACTAGGTTTACTTGAGAAGAGTAAAGAAACCCACTAACGGGATTACTATCTGTGACAGGCAAGTTGTCGTGCCTTTTACGTATACCATTTCAAATAAATTAATCAATATCCAAACTATTACTTGAATGGCTATTGCACTTTCTTGAAATATACTCAAGATATGCCGTTTTTAACTTCTTTCTAAGTTAATGTAAGTATTACAAACCAATGCTCTAAGCAGTCAGTTGATACAACATATATTACGTACTAAGGCGGGCTTAAAATCTAGGCAGCTATCCCCCCCCCCCCCCCCCCCCCCCCCCCCGTCCATTAAAAACCCATACGTATCTATCTCTATTGCATACAGCCAAACAAAATTTGAGCTCTTTTTCCCAAAATATGATTAATTGGTTGCCATTACCTGCAGGGCTGTCTCCATTTGAATTTTCTTTGAAAGAGCTAAGCAAATTTACACAAAAGTTATAACCCTAATGCAAACGTTGGTGACACTGTAAATCAGATTGCATGGTGTTACAGATTTTAAACAGATTTCATCTTGTAGGGAACCATTCATAAAATTACCAACAAAAAGCGCTAGTTTTATTAAAATAAAAAAATATCCTTTGTTCATAACGACTTCTGTTAGGAGCCTCGCTCACCGTGGAGAACGATGAATGAACTTGTACAATCTGTATTAAATATCTCAGTAACGCATAATGAATTAAATACTGGGAAAAAGTCTTTTTTCTTCAAAGATACTCTATCATAACTCTTCAAAAAATTGAATCCTTGCTGTAGAAGTTCCTGTTTGAATCTGGCACACGCACAAGAAAAAAAAACGGAGATAGTCAATGATGTTAAAGTAAAACAACCACACAACAGCGACATGATAACTGCTTTAGGAGCGCAATTAATCCTTTAACTCCCATGAGTGACCAAGATAGAATTTCTCCTTACAATATAAATACAATATCAACCAGATAAGTGATGAGAACAAAGAAAATATCAATTTGGGAATAGTTAGTTAATTAAATACAAAATTCTCTGAACCAACATAAGAATTGTATGGTTGACAGTAAGGAGAAATACAAATTTGATCTAGGAGTTTAAGGGTTAACGTATTGAAGTTAATGAGGGGGCTTCTCTTCGACAGATTTCTTCTATTGAACCGCTTTGAATAACGAACGATTGAAATCATTTCATTGTCAACAATCAACGTTGTTCAAGTTTTATAAGGAAGGTGACAAGTTTTTAAAGTATACAATACCGAGAGAAATCTATCTATATTATAAACCCATAAGAACACCAGAAGTTTAATTCCATTATTGAGGCAAACGTCGAGCCATATGAAGGTGGTAGAATTAACAGGGTTACAACAATAAAGATACAACTTCACTTTTAATTCGCACAGGCACAAAACTTCGTCACTATGGGGCAGTGATCAACTGAATGTCGAGAGTTCTCTGGCATTGCATTGATTCTGCTTTACCAGGCTACGTGATTGGTCGAGAAAACCCACACCACGTTCGCAACCAATCAGACGCAAAACGCAAATTAGTTATGAACAAGTCGCTTGCGCTTTCCAGTGTTTAAGGTAGTTTGCTTGAACTTATTTTGAGTTCTCACTGGCTCCTTGGGATACTTTTCTATTTTCTGATTGGCCATAGCGGTTAACATACGTTTTCGCTTTTATGTCTTACAATCGAAAAGCGCACAAACGTTGGCATTACCTTTTGTAAGGTAGAATATTTATCTTCCCCGCGTCTCATGTTTTCATCATGAATGTAATCCCAGCGTGTTTGTCTGTCATCGATCTTAAGTCCCTGGAAAAGATTTGTTACAAGTTACAAATACAGTCACGGGCGGGCCACTTGGCAACATCTCAGAAAAGTAGCTGTGACTGAGTTAAGTAGAGCAGTGCTGCTAACACGAAGTGGAGTGCGCGTCTCCGCCGTCAGGCTAAAGAGTCCTGCCACGCAGGATAACCTCGCAATAATTGTTCTAAAGTCTGCGGACAAACTATACAGGCGCAATTAAACTCATAAGTACCAGCCAAAGTCAGTCACTGCTACCGAAAACAATCCTTCTCGTGGTTACTTTAACCCGGACGACGACTAGACTACACGATCAAACTTTCTAGGAAGTGTGGCATTCAGCTTAAATTAATGAGTTGATGGAATGTAAGTAAAACCTTCTGTACCTCCATTTGTGATTTGAGATCTCTTAACTGCTGCTGTATATTTCTGTTTCTGGGAAAGAAAAATAAAAAGGAATTTCACCACACTAAATATTATAGTTGTTTACTAACACTCAAACAATCGAGTGAGTAATTCTCTCAAGAAATATCTTCTCAAAATACTTTTGGTTCCTAATCAATGATCATAAGTGACTACTACATATATCTATAAAATTATGCACTCTTTCTTCATAGAAGTCGTGATACTAATTCTTCAAAGCAGCACACTAAAAGCATCCGCGATCCACCTTAAAAATGAATATACACTGGTACTGGGCTTATGAAAGAATAACGCTCATTTCAAGAGATAACAAAATTAACGATTACCTCTCTCTCTCGTAATCTCGTGAAAGCTGAGAAACCTCGCCATCTGTTAACTGCTCAACACTGCGGTCAATGTCGGCTATTATTTCCCTTGGATCCCCGTACCTCTGAAAAATACGGCACTAATGTTACAAAACTGAAAACAAGATTTGCGCAAATAGAGGATAATATGCTGTTAGCGCTGGCAGCAAATCATAGCAGAATTTAAGATGTCTTAGGAACTTAAACCCATTCCTAACGAAGCTGAACCCGGTTTCCATATCACGAGGCGACTAGGGTATCGACACTCACTCTGAATGGGATGCTGGTCAATATCACAGCAATTCTTCAGGTTTCCATGATAATGTTTGATGGTAACTATTTGTCTCTCCTGGGTGGATGGGTGGAGAGAGATCCGGTGAAAGAATATAACACGCAGACCCAGCTGAGACTTGGACCCACCCCTCTCGATCGAAGTTTTAGCGAGCTAATACTTGGACCACCGCGCCCTGACTCTGAAAAGGCCTTAGGGAGGGTAAAACCGGATTATGAATGCATCCAAACACAACAAGCTTTCTTCCACTTACAGAGAAAAAATCAGGAGACGAAGTCATTTCCATCAGCTTTTGTTTAGCTAGCCTCTCAGCTTGTCTGGACTTCATTAAATCTTCTCTCAGCATCAAAGCTTCCCTCGCTCTACGGGAAAGCAAAACGACCATAAGACTTGCAAGGAAACAATACCACGGCTTTTGACATCTTTAGTGACCTTTAAAGTACTTAAATCTCATTCAATGACCCTCGACACTGACTTGATAATTGCTCCATCAGGAAAAGATAGTTAATCACGTGAGCCTGACCTGGCTTCGGCCTCTTGCATGACTCGTCTCAGTCTTTCTTCAGCGACTTCACGAGCTCTTCTTTCAATCGCGATTCGCTCGTCTCCTGACTGTAGATAAAAACATCTATGTGTTAAGGTTAGTTCTGATGTGTCAGAAATATTGAGTGACAATCGGGGATTGCTCGGTCGTCTGGAATGGCCGCAAAAAAAAAGACAGGAAACTACTTGGCATTTGTATTTTCCCGCTAACTGAAGGAAAGGCCTTCCCTGTACCTTACTAACGCATAATCTGAGTCTTTTTATTTCTTCTTCAGCGTCAGAAGCTTTCTTCCCGAGCAGCGCCGCTTCTTCCTCTGCGACTCTGGCTTTCTCTGCTAACAATTCCCCCATTTCCTCAGACTTAATCTGAAACAGATAAAGAAAATCTGGTAAATTTGCGGCCATTTCTCTTGCTCTATCAAGACAGACGCTTCCGACATTTGCTGGTCTTAGAAGTATGTTGGACACAAGAGGCAAAACTAGATCCAAACGCGACTAGGATGGATGAGTTTTCCCGAAGAGTCATTTTTGTGACTCCCGTTCCCTATTTCAGAGAAGGATCCACATCGGTCGCATGATTTTAGTTCGTTTCAACAGTTCAGTTTCGGAGGTGAGTCGACAACAGCTTTGAGATTTTCAACTTTGTAGGTTAAAAATATTTACCAAAGCTTCTTTAGATCGATTTGCTTCATCTTGAAATTCAGTCAATCTTTTCTCCAATTCTTCCTTTTGTTGCGCCATTTCTTCACGCGCTTGCTGTTCTTTCATGAGCTTGTCTCTCTCTATCTATCAATACAAACACAAATTCAGAGAAAAAGGGAAAGTTTATTTTCTTTTCCGCGTCCATTCAACTAGCAGGTTGAATCGCTGAAAAAAGGGGCAAGCCGGCATGCTAGCCAAACACCATACAAGTAAAAAATGCGCCTGGCTGTCTGGGAATAAATCTGTTCCTCTTCTTAGTTTTTCACTAGGATAGGGAAGGCCCTCGGTAAGAAAATTGAGGTTGACAACGACTCGCTGAAATACAAGCATGTCTCACTAAGACAGTTTTCATACCAACCTGTCTTCTCATTTTCTCTTCTTTGGCCAGTGATCTCATCTGTTGTATCTCCATCGTATCAGGCTTTCTCCTTCGCGTGAAAAGTTCATGGTTACCCACACACAAGTCAAGAATCTGCATTCAGGGGAATTGCAATCAGTTTGTTTACAGTTTTGTTAAAAAATACTAAGTACAGTTTGAATGTAATTCATGCTTGAACGTACCACTCTGTTAACTCTTAGTTTTGCTGCGTGGAAAATGAAATCTGGTGAAGACTTATCAGCTGGTTTGATCTGAAACTGGAAAAAAATTTAGCTCTATTTAAACTCTTTTGTGCAGAATAGCAAAGTTTTCTCAGTGTATATTAGATAAATTTCTAATCCTAACGAATGTCTACTAATAAAATTACTCTCCCTGTAATAAAGGTAACATAGCAGAGATGTTGAAATAAACTCACGAGGTTCTAGATGTGTTTATTGGGACCCAAGATATAGGTTATTTAAATCCAAGATTCAGTATTTGGTGGAAGCTATGGTAATTGCTCAAGTTCAATATAATAATTACAAATAAGAGGGATTTACCCTTTTGTCATGAAAGGAGATATTCTTTGTCTCATTCCATGGGAAGGAAATTTTAGGGTTGAGCTTATTTTCTTTTTCGTAAATGTTGAGGCAGTGTGCATCAATACCAAGCCACAGTTCAGTTCCTTTTCTGTTCTGCAATGAGAGAGAGGAAAAAAAAGCT